TTTTATTGGGACTTATGGAGGCTCTGAAGCTAATAAAAAAAAGGTTTTGTCTTTGTCTTTTATTTGTTTTATTTGTCTTTGTCTTTGTCTTTGTTTTCCTTGTCTTTGTTGTTGTTGTGCTGCTGCTTATATTTATTTATTTATTTATTTATTTATTTATTTATTTATTTATTTATTTATTTGTGTATTGAGGGTTTAGGTTTAGTGGCTGAGGGTTTATGTTCTAGGGTTTCTCCTTTCGCATCAATTTTTTTTATTTTTTTTTATTTTTTTTTTTATTTTTTTAATAAATAAATAAATATAAATAAATATAAATAAATATAAATAAATATAAATTTATTTATTTATTTATTTATGTTTTTATGTACAGAGCTGCGACGCCTAGAGGATTTAGGTTTAGTGGCTGAGGGTTTATGTTCTAGGGTTTCAACATTAACATCTCCCTCTCGGCTGTCTATACACCGCGTGCTGCTGCTGCTGCAGCAGANTCTAGGGTTTCAACATTAACATCTCCCTCTCGGCTGTCTATACACCGCGTGCTGCTGCTGCTGCAGCAGATTGCTGCATGCAAGGGAAACAAAACACAAACAAAAAAAAAAGGTTTAATAAGAGAAGCATTAGTAGCGGCGAAGACAAAAGAATGTAGATTCATCATTCGTTTCTTGCAGCAGAAAATGAGGGTTGGTTGTGCGTCCGCAGCTGTATACCAGGTACAAACCCTAAACCCTCATAAACCCTCATAAACCCTAAACCCTCATAAACCCTAAACCCTAAACCCTAGTACTAATCCCGCAACATCTGTTGATTAAAACTGTAGAAAAACGAAACGCATTCATTCCCTAAACCCTAAACCCTAAACCCTAGATAAATACACGAATATACATGCTATTTAATCCTTTAAACCCTAGGGTTTAGGGTTTAGGGTTTAGGGTTTAGGGTTTGTATGTAGGCGTTGGCTTATGCTTTTTGTTTAACCCACAACGCGAGAGGAGGGTTTAGCGCTATTGGTGATGTGAGGACTTTTGAGGGTTCTGAGGAGCATCTATTTGCTGCTGACATTCCTGCTGCAGTGCAGCAGCAGCAGCGCGAAGCAGCAGCAGCAGCAGCAGCAGCAGCAGCAGCAGCAGCAGCAGGAGCAGCAGCAGGAAATATATCTCTGCTGCCATCAGCATGGGGCCCGCATGCACTCTCTTCTTTTTTATGTTCTTTTGACGCTGCGTTTCGCCGCGCTTTATGTGAGCTTCCTTTTCTTGATTTGCTGCTGCAGCAGCTGCAGCAGGGAGCAGCAGCAGCAGCACTGCAGCAGCTATGTGCATGCAGGCCAGGTATCCCGCTGCTGCCGATGCTTGCTCGCCCCACACGTGGCTACCACGAGGTGTCTGTACACCTGAAAGATACAAAGTTTACTTGTGAATATAAATACGACGGAGAAAGAATACAGATACATGTGCTGCCGAAGCAGCAGTATCTGCTGCTGCAGCAGCTCATACACAGCACAAGCGGCACCAGCAGCAGCAGCAGCAGCAGCAACAGCAGCAGCAGCAGCANCAGCAGCTCATACACAGCACAAGCGGCACCAGCAGCAGCAGCAGCAGCAGCAACAGCAGAAAAAAAAAAAACACCTGCTGCAGCAGCAACACCAGCAGCAGAAACACCAGCAGCAGCAGCAGGAGAAGA